GATGTATGTAAATCAACTCATTATTATGTTGTATTCTTTAAACTTATACAGTGCTATCAGTTATATCTCAATAACATTGGAAGAAAAAACCTTAGAATTTCCTAAGTGGAAAAAAATTAATTTAAATAAATAAATAAAAATAGTATATTTTCAAATAAAAAAAACAGGAAAGGAAAAGGCAAGTGTAACCTTGTAAATTAGGAAGAGATAGAAGGAAAGATATGTGTCTTTTCATTCATACATTCATTCCATCACTTCATGCTGCAATAGATCTGAAACCATCTATAAAATTACATAGATTATAAATAGATGAGGGAATTGGTAGATGAGAGAAATAAACACAGGAACTGTTAAACCCAGATGTGATATTGACACATAAGTTTACATACTGTAGATACTATACTGCATGTTACTAGGGCGATAGTGTAAATTTGGGTCTAGACTTCCAAATAATCTGTGCAGGGACAGAAGCACTGCCAATAGAGGATTCTTAGTACCCATGAAAGTAAATCTCTTCTTCAGTAGGAGCACAGCTTTTCATGATACTGATCCGTGAATGTTTTCCTGCTGTCACAGAAAGAGGGCACAGTGATGTAACAGATGAGGTAGTCTCCTGCCTGATGCCTACAGGGATTTGTAATGGAGAAAAGGCATTACTATATGAATGCTGCTAGCTTTTCCCTCTGCCCTGCTCTTTAAGGAGTATTTTCGCTTTGTTTGTTCAGTTCCTTCTCCTCATCTATCATTTAAGGACAGTTCTGCCTTTGCAGACTTTACCCCCAGGATTCTGTGGATGATTAATTGAGAGAAAAGGGGAAGGATGGGAAGCCAAGGCATATGGGTGAACTAAGGTTGGGGGAAGGACCCTGTAAGGAGTTTTCAGAGGAGAGGTCAGGCTGCAGAATATTCCTAGATGGTTGGATGGCATTGATTCAATGGACATGAGTTTGAGCAAGCTCCAGGAGATAGTGAAGGACAGGGAAGCCTGGTGTTGCTGCAGCTTGGAGGAGCCATGAACAATGAAAGAGGCACAAGGAGAACAAAATGGTTTTGAGAAACATTACTGTTGACTGTGTGTCTCTTTCATAATGTTTGAGAAATGTTAATCAAGGATCATTTTATTTTGAAATCTTGGCTGTTGGAGTTTCTTCCATGGATGCTGGTGCCACTCTGAGATGGCAGGATGTGAGTCCTTGTTTCATTATGGAGATATGGGAGGGGGGCACTGCCGGTGTGGGGGAGGGGGACAGATGGTGGACCTGAAATGTTGCACTGTGTTCCCTGTGCTAGACTGACATCACTATGCATCTGAGGTCTGTTTCTCTCTGACGGTTAGATCAAGAGCACAGGTGGCTGGCCTTGAAACATTGGAACAGTGGTCAAACTTAAAGATTTGGTCCACTAAGAGTTGCAAACTAAGGGATAATGTGTGTTCATTAAATAGAGATTGCCTCACCAGAAACAAAACAAGAAGGCTCAAGAAAAGGCAACTTGTTGGTTTCCAAGTCAGTACAGATGAATGCCTACTTTCTTAAGACAACTCCAAGAAGAAACATAATGCAGACCTATGCTCTGCATGGCTGGGATTGTCCCAGAGGCACCTTTGATTATAGGACATTTCTTTGTCAGGGCTACAGAATATTCCTAGATGGTTGGATGGCATCGCCGACTCAATGGCCATGAGTTTGAGCAAGTTCCGGGAGATAGTGAAGGACAGGGAAGCGGGGTGTTACTGCAGTCCATGGGGTCGCAAAGAGTTGGACACAACTGAGTGACTGAATAACAACAGACATCCATGAAATTATCACCACAATCAAGACAGTGAACTTATCATTGAGATTTTTAAGAAATATTCTGTGAATTTTGTATTACCTTTGCTCTATTTAAGAAACACATGTTAAGAGTTTGCATAACTTCAGTTACTTTTTGGCTGCCAAACTGTGTGTCTCTGACTAGGACTCCACTAAGATTCTGGGCTTCAGTAGGATTATATTTAATATAGAATTTAGATGGCTATTTCTTTAACATTCTTCAGTTGAAGAAAGAACTTCAGAAAGTAATTTTATGGCTGATGGGTGACATGGGAGAGAGAAGGAGGCATAACAGTACAGCTGTCATTGCTGGACCGTCTGTTTGGGCCAAGAGCAAGGTTTCTCATCTCCAGTAGAATGAGGATTCTGTGCATGTTGGCAATGTTGTTGCTCCTTTCTTGTAGCTGAGCTTTGGAAAAGTCCTGGACCACAGAGAGTTGAAAGTTGTAATATTTAGCAAGTACTTGGAGTATCAGTATTCTGGGTCACTAATTAAAACCAGATCCAAATGCTTTGGCAATCAGTAGAGCCCGGGGTAAAATTATGATTTTCTTATTGAAATTAGGGAGCCTAACCAGGACTGTAGTCTGGGCAGAACCATGGCAGAACCAAAATCATCCCCAGGAAATATGTTCACTTGTGTGCGTGCTAAGTTGCTTCAATTGTGTCTGACTCTTTGTGACCCTATGGACTGTAGCCTGCCAGGCTCCTCTGTCCATGGGATTCTCCAGGCAAGAATACTGGAGTGGGTTGCTATGCCCTCCTCCAGGGGATCTTCCTGACCAAGGGATTGAACCCATGTCTCTTGAGTCTTCTGTATTGTCAGGCAAGTTCTTTACCACCAGTGCAACCTGGGAAGCCTGAAATATGTTTGGGGCTATTCTAACTTATTGAGTGACAAAGACTCCAGGGCTCTAAAGTTCTTGTGGTATGGAACAGATCATCTAATCATAAGATTAGAAAATTTTAAAAGAAGATAATATTCATTTCCTGCCAAAGTCATAGAAAAATTTAAATAAAATTCTCATAGAACTTCTGGTTCTAAGCAGTGTGTCTTTCTGGTTTGCTCTCCAGTATAAATTATTTGTACATTGAATTCCCAGCGACCACATCAGGATACTTTCAGTTGCGAGTAACAGAGACCCTGACTCAACTGGCCTGAATAATAATGGAGTTATTTTTCATTTAACAAACCCACAGTTTGAGCAGCTCCAGAGTTGGTTAGTTTAGTGACTAAAAGACCTCATCAAGAATCTAGCATCTTTGTAGCTTTTCCACTATTCCTCATTAGAGTATCTGACTCATCTTCAGGCGGGTTCTCTTCCTATCACAAGATGGTTACAGATGCTCCAAGCATTCCATTCCGATTCAGCGACATCCAGTAGCAATAAACTCATCCCTTATCTTTGTTTACTTTTTAAAGATGAAGTATAATGTGTCCCCAAAGCCCCTCAACTGTCTCCCCTTCATATCTCACTGGTTCAAATGGTGAGTGATTCACCCAAATGAATTACTGGCAAGCTGAATGGGATCCCTGGACACACATAGACCAATCAAGATCCAACACTAATTTGCTGGAGGAGAGATGGTTACTAAAACAAAATCAAGAATCTCCTGCATTGCAGACAAATTCTTTATCATCTGAGCCACCAGGGAAGCCCTCTAAAACAAAATCAAGGTTCTGCTAAAAGGAAGAAAGGGAAGAAACCACATCTGTCATTCAGAAATATGGAGAGAATCTGATTAAAATTGAAAACATATGCCAGAGTTAACTATTTTTTATTAGGATTCTTTCTTAAGATATTATTTCTGGCAAAAATTCATTAGTAAGACTAATAGTCTATAAAGACCCCTCCTGGTACATTGCTGTAAAACCATAACCTTTGCATTGAGAATGTGTGTTTCAATTCTTGATAGCAGGCATTTAATAATTAAAATTCAAGTTAGAAAGATAGAACATCTCTTTTGTGCAGTGCTACAAATGGTTATCTGATCAATTAGAAGATGAACCTTATCAACCCTGACCCTCAGGATCTATTGAGGTATGAGTTTTGGCTGGAGTATGATTACCTGGAGGCTCCATACTGAACTCGTTCAACCTAGCCCTTTCAGACTCATAACCTTAGAACCACGGGCTAAGAACAGTCAAAAGCAACTATAACCAAATGTCTTTATTCCTGTCTTTATAAGGGAACAGAGAACAGGATCAAAGTCAATAGCAATTGTATCAAACACCTGCATCAGACCTCACCTGGTCTAGTTCAAACCTCCTGTGGAAACTGGTACTAACGTGTATTCAGATAAACCTCATGCAGGTGCCCCCTGCCAGGGCGCCCCTTTCTCTATATATTGTACCTCTGTTGTCTCCAGCCCCTTAGCTTCCCTTCTGATGCTGAGGGGTGGGTCACACCCTATTTGATACTCACACATGCAGTCCTGAAAGTGCAGAAAGCAGTAACACTCCATGGGGCAAACCTCTGACCAGTAGAAAAGGAAACTGATGGGTAAATTCTTTTTCCTTTATCCCTACCCCACATGCAGCTTTTATGATGGCTTTTTAAGGGACAGTCCCAACAGTATCAAGGCATCAATTGAATTTAATGGCATAAAATTATGAAGTATCCTTCTGTTGGCTTATTTTCCTTCCTGCCTCACTCTCACTGTATCTCATGCCTGCTACCTGAGCATGCATCCCTAATAAGGTAGTGACATCGAAAACCGCTTCAGGCCCTTCTTTCTGGAAAGCTCAGGCTAAGTCAGAAGAGCAGCTAAACCTAAAATCTACTTGCTCCTTGTGTAAAACATGGGGTTAAGGAGCCCAGGCTGATAATTAATAATGGAGAAAATAGACACAGAGTTTAGAGGAGACATTTAATAAATATGTTGAACATGTTCAATAAATGAAAGTTGTAGAGACTTCCCTAGTGGTCTAGTGACTAGGACTCTTGAGTTCCCAGTGCAGGGATCCTGGGTTCTATCCCTGGTTGGGGAACTAGGTCTTACATGCTGCAACTAAGATCCAGTGCAACCAAATAAATAAACAAAAATATAATTAAATAAATAAATAAAAATTGTGTAGTTTGGGAAGATGGGAAAAATTCCTTATTTAAAATATGATAGGCTAAAGTCTGGGTTCTTCTAGGAAGGAGATGTGGATTTAGGAAGATGGGGTGTGTCACGTTGATCTTTTCAGCTCTTGTACCTCCTTTCAGAGAAGGCGATGGCACCCCACTCCACTACTCTTGCCTGGAAAATCCCATGGACGGAAGAGCCTGGTGGGCTGCAGTCCATGGGGTCGCGAAGAGTTGGACATGACTTAGCGACTTCACTTTCACTTTTCACTTTCATGCAATGGAGAAGGAAATGGCAACCCACTCCAGTGTTCTTGCCTGGAGAATCCCACAGACGGCGGATGGGGTCACACAGAGTCGGACACGACTGAAGCAACTTAGCAGCAGCAGTAGCAGCAACACCTCCTTTATGCTGACTATAGTGTATATGCGCAGTTGACACTTGTTGACTGAAATGAAAGAGACTGATATTTTTTTAACTTTCGCTTTTTCTTTTTTAAAAAATTAATTAATTTATTTTAATTGGAGGCTAATTACTTTACAATATTGTAGTGGGTTTTGCCATACCTTGACATGAATCAGCCATGGGTGTACATGTGTTCCCCATCCTGAACGCCCCTCCCACCTCCCTCCCCATCCCATCCCTCAGGGTCATCCCAGTGCACCAGCCCTGAGAACCCTGTCTCATGCAACAGTGATATTTTTAAGTGTCTGGTTTATTAAGTGTCTTATTTTTAAGGAGGTCTGGTTAGTAGGAAAGTTGAAGGCAAGAAGTCAAGAGGAACAGGGTGTGACTCTAAAATCTGCCTGGCTGGCACTATGAGCAAATCCCATAATGTCTCTTAATCTCTAAAGCCTCTTAGTACTTTTCCTACCTAAAGGAAATGCGTGGGGCTTCTCTGGTGGTTCGGTGGTAAAGAATCCACCTACAAATGAATGCAGGAGATGTGGGTTTGATCCCTGGGTCAGGAAGATCCCCTGGAGAAGGAAATGGCCTCCCACTCCGGTATTCTTGTCTGGGAAATCCCATGGACAGAGGAGCCTGGCGGGCTACAGTCCATGGGGTTGCAAAAGGAGTTGGACATGACTGAGTGACTAAACCACAGTGACAGTGACAAAAGTTGTCTGAACCCGGCCAGGCCCAGCAGCCTGAGATTGTGAACGGAAAAGCCAAGGGCTGGAAAGACCCAGAGATGGCGGATGATGCTGGGAGGCCTACCAAGCCAGACCCGGGGGTCCACCCAGGCACAGGGAGAAACGAATCTAGAAGGAGTTCAGTTCAGTTCAGTTCATTCGCTCAGTCGTGTCCGACTCTTTGCAACCCCATGGACGCAAATTTTAAAATTTAAAATTAATTTTTTAAAAAAGAAAAAGTGAAATTAACAAAAAATTCACTGTCACTTTCTTTCATTTCATTCAACAAGTGTCAGGCTTCCCTGTCCATCACCAATCCCCAGAGCTTGCTTAAACTTACGTCCATTGAGTCAATGATGCCATCCAACCACCTCATCCTCTGTCATTCCCTTCTCCTCCTGCCTTCAATCTTTCCCAGCATCAGAGTCTTTTCCAATGAGAAGGAGGTCGTTGCTCCTAAAAATGTGGAAGGGGAGGGGTATTACCATGTGGGAATTTAATTCAAGGGTAGCCTGAAGAAGCATAATTCCAAAAGTCAATTTAGAGGAGAATTGTTCAAGTTTAGGGTCTTGGAGATGAAAAGGTACAGACTAGGAAAACTGTGCTCAGAAGGAGGCAAAAGAAAAAACAAACAAACTGAGCTCTAGACACAGTCAGTTAACAAGTTAATGCAACTTGAAAAGGATTTCACCCCTTGGAGTCCTGTCCATGGAACAAAGTGCAACTCTTGAGGTTCTATTTGTCTTTCATCTTGCATGGTTATTGGAGAAGGAAATGGCAATCCACTCCAGTACTCTTGCCTGGAAAATCCCATGGACAGAGGAGCCTAATAGGCTACACAGTCCATGGGGTTGCAAAGAGTTGCAAAGACATGACTTCACTTTCACTTTCACTTTGCATGGTAATGGGGCAGGGGTGATACAGCTTATGATACTGTTGTTGTGCCAGGGAAATTCTGTATAAGAATAAAGAGGCAGCTGTCCATAGAAAATCTTGATTTACCCTGCTAGAGAGGACATCAGTTGCCTTATGTGCTCCTGACAGCCCCTCCAGAAAAAGCAAGAGGCAGACGGTGGGGATGGAGAGAAAGTGAGAACACTGAATGGGCCTGCAAGGGACTGTCGCGTCTCCACTTCCTTCCTTCACGAGCTCACAGTGTGTGGCTTTGGTGTGGCTTCCAGGGCTCTACCAGTGTTCTAAAGTCCTGTCTGCTCTCCTTTTCCTGTCCCCCCAACCACGTGCCCTTGTAACAGAGTGAAAAATGAATCACCCATCACCCAGCTGCTCAGTTGGACTGTCTTGAGCTGCTGTCACAGACCTCTGCCAAGGGCCTCAGTAGGAGGGTGACCAGCTACCCTCTTCATGATGAGGGACCAGAAAGTGGACAGAGGCACCAGCCCTGTGGGTGTCTGAGCTGTTCCTGCAATATGGCAAGGGGTTCCTCAGGCCCAGGCCCTTCATCCACATACCTCTGAACCATAGGTTTTTAAATTTCAAATATTCCTTTCTCCAGACTCTGTGTATTTGAATATTTTGAAGCCTGTTGCATCCATCCCAAGTTTTTAGCTTTTCTTTTTTTTTTTAAACAAAAAAGATGAAAGCCTTAAGATAGTCTAAGGAGAAAGATTCTCTTGTTGGCATTGTATCAGATTCTTTTCTCTGGGGGAGGCCTGCTGTTGAGGCAGGGTGGGGTGGGTTCAAAAAGGTTGTGACATGTTCTGGCTTGGGGCCCAACATTGTTGAAAAATGCTCAGAGGAGACTCAGAGCACTTAAAGAGTTTTGGCTTTAAAACTGTCTTTGTTTAGATTTTCAAATTTGTTTAAATATTTTCTCAAAGAGAGACAATAAAAGAACTTGAATAGAAATTTTTTCCGTGAAACAAATTCTTTCCTAACCTAGGCTGATAGACTACTTACAACAATAGTAACAACCATTGTCATCTATTTTTTGATGTTACTAAGGCTTTAGGTCCTGTTCTAAGTGTTTCACATGCTTTATCTCATTTAATTTTTTCAACGGTCTTCAAACTTAGTACTGTCATCCCCATCTCAAAAATGAGAAACCAGAGACTCAGGTGGCTATTTATATACAAGAGTGTATTAGTAAGCGTCAGAGTTTAGATTTGGCTACAAACCTAGATTTATTTGACTTCAAAGCCTGGTCTCTATCAGTGGTATGCTGGCAAATGTCCAACAGCCAGCTCTGTGGGAGGGGAGGGGAGGTCTGCTTTATAGTGTTTGCCAGTTTTCTGGAGTGTAAATACCCCCAACCATGGCTGATTTCAAGCTACCAACTTGACCTCACTGAAAACAAATTTGGGAAGAAATAGGTAAAATCGACTCTTGCTGGTATCAGTTGCCAGGGGTATATCACAGCTTACCTTGTATATTATATTGTTATCGAACACATTTTGGAGCCCAGAGCACACTTGTGTCACCCGCAATTTAGTGCCTAGAACCCCGGTCTCTTTGCTCTTCATATATCCCTATATTTATTCTTGAAGCATGCCTTCTTTGGACACTGAAACTGCGTACTTACCCTGGCCAGACACTTCCCTAAAGACTTTTCTCACCTGGTTTTCCCTACAGCCGTTTTGAGGAGACTGCTGTTGTTTTTCTCTTATTTCATAAAATGAAGAAACAGATGCTCCGAGTGCTCAGGGAATTTGGTGAAGGTCACACAGCTCACATCTAAGGCTAGATGTGAATCTGTGAGTCTTGATGAACTTTTCAGTAGGAACAGGAAGATAAATAAGAGTTTGGAGAGTAGTGTTAGCCAAACAAGCTTGGGCATAGATGAAGTTTTATCTATATGATGCAAAAAACAAAACAAAACAAAAAGTGCTATCATTCACTAGTATCAGGGTAATAGTAAACATCAGAATGATTGGCTGTAGTTTCATTTTTATAATTTTTATCATCTGGATAATCCGGGAAATTAATTTTATCAACTATATAATTTAAGAAAAGCAATCATGGTACAATAAACTTATGGAAGACCCTGATGATGTCTTGATTGAAGGCAAAAAGAGAAAAGGGCAGCAGAGGATGAGATGTTTAGACAGCATCACTGACTCAATGAATTTGACCAAACTCCAGGAGATAGTGAAGGACAGAGAAGGCTGGCATGCTGCAGTCCATGGGTCACAAAGAGTCAGACATGACTTAGCGACTGAATGACAATAAAAACATATGGAGGAATTGAAGGGTCTAGATTGAGTCCACCTTGAGCCACATCAGCTACATGATCTTGGATGTGTCCTTTGACCCTTCCTAGCTTTTGACTATCTGATTTCTAAAACAAACAAGCATCATTGGAGACAATGTAAATGAATGGCATTTATGATCCAACTGTTTACCTAATATTAAGTTTGGGGGTTGAATATACAAAACTTGACAGAAGGAACTTCTTTTTATTCACAGCCTTTGAGCTTTCAGGGGAAATGTTAAAAGTTGACAATTGGCTCAATATTATAATTTGGAGTTTAGTGATAAAAAGATGATACATAATTTCTTTAATCTTTAAGGGCTTTAAAAATATGTCCAAGATAAGTATATTTTTCATGGAATTAAAAAGTTGTGATCTTACAGATGAATATCCAAAATCAGTCTTCGCTAGGAGAACTAGGTCCAGTTGGGCGGGCTTCCCAGGTGGCTCAGTGGTAAAGAGTTCACCTGCCAATGCAGGAGATGAAGGTTTGACACCTGGGTCAGGAAGATCCCCTGAAGGAGGACATGACAACCCACTCCAGTATTCTTGCCTGGAGAATCCCGTGGACAGAGGAGCCTTGCAGGCTACAGACCATGGGATTGCAAAGAGTTGGACTTGACTGAGCACGCACACACATTTTATTCTGTTTCTTACACTAGTTGGTTCTTGCTAATTTTAAGGTTAGGTTAGAAAACCACCTGAATAACAAATGGACTACTGTTATTCCTGGTCCCTTCTTAGAACTGTCACCATATGCATGGAAATGGTAAGGGTATCTAGCCAAAGCCTCATGAGAGTTGTCTTATACATTGATACGTGCATATCACAAGCAGTCTTAGGTTAAGACTTGATGCTTAAGAAATTAAATCCTTTACATTCTCCTTTGACCAGAAGGAATGCTGAGAAAGAACAGTATGGCTCTGTTTCCCCATGTATGCGATAAAGTCTGAGACTTGCAAAAGAGCTTAAGTAGTACAACTTGTGTAAGAAGAATGCTTTGGGTGCAGTTAGTATAAACAAAGGGTCCTTGGCACGAAAGAGAACTAAGCAGCTGCAAGAGATTTGCTTCGAAAACCAAAAGATTAAATACTCTTAGAAGAGAGGGGGAGGAAATACCCACTAAGGTCTCTGATATTTCCATTTTCTTTCCTCCTTCTCAATAGCCTTCTAAGATTAAATATTTCTATCTATGCTACAAAAGAAAACCCCCAAACCAAAAAACAAAAATACCTCTTCTACTTAAGAATGATCATATTGTCAGACTTTTCCTAAATTTAAACAAGCATGAGGGTTTAAAGTTAAGTCACAAGAAATAAATCATTTACATTCCTTTGCCTGTTATCTGTTCTCTGTGAAATCATTCATTAAAGGACACTGATAGTAATTTAACCCCCATGAGAATATTATGAGTTAATAGAAATGATTGATGCAGAAAGGAATTGCCTGTGAGTGAAATAATTAAAAGTATGTATGAAAATCAGCTTGTTTAATATGGAAAACCTGGGGGAACAATAATACAATGTAATAAATTTCTTTGTAGTCTTGCTATTCCCTATGATAGAGGACTATCCATATGCCAAGTTTCTTAAGACACAAACATGAAGTTAACTGGAAATTTGTTTTATATTTCCACATAATTCAACTGGTTCAGTTCAGTTCAGTCACTCAGTCGTGTCTGACTCTTTGCGACACCATGAACCTCAGCACACCACGCCTCCCTGTCCACTGCCAACTCCCAGAGTTTACCCAAACTCCTGTCCATGGAGTCAGTGATGCCATCCAACCATCTCATCCTCTGTCGTCCCCCTTCTCCTCCCACCCTCAATCTTTCCCTGCATCAGGGTCTTTTCAAATGAGTCAGCTCTTCGCTTCAGGTGGCCTAAATGTTGGAGTTTCAGCTTCAACATCAGTCCTTCCAATGAACATTCAGGACTGATTTCCTTTAGGCTGGACTGGTTGGATCTCCTTGCAGTCCAAGGGACTCTCAAGAGTCTTCTCCAACACCACAGTTCAAAAGCATCTATTCTTCAGTGCTCAGCTTTCTTTATAGTCCAACTCTCACAACCATACATGACCACTGGAAAAACCATAGCCTTGACTAGATGGACCTTTGTTGACAAAGTAATGTCTCTGATTTTTAATATGCTGTCTA